GGGTTATGATATTTTGGCCTTGGCTGTACATTCAAGCTGGACGCAAGATTACCTGTGGGAGGTTTAGGATGAGTTTGCTTTCTTCAGGGATAAAGGGGAATTTACATCTGGGCAAGAGATCTGGCTGTAGTGTTGCATTTCTCTGTCCATAGTTGCTGGGCGAAAGTTAACCCAGAATCTGCAATGATTACAAGTAAGTCTTGTGAGATGGACTCATGGGTGAAGATGGGAGGTCACAAACACATATTCTCTCCCTTTCAATGCCAGCATCAACCAGTGCTATTCTCTTTCTGAGAAGAAAAGTGATGTGTGTGTTATTTCATACCAAATTACTGCAAGCGGATCTGTGCGCCGGCTTTGCAAGTTGGTGCAGAACGTAACCAACCACGGCCAGTGGGATGCTGCAGGGGCAGAAGTAGTCACCGGTACAAATCTAATTACGAGATTAAGACTGCTGTGTGGGTGTGTGCTTGCACGTGTGCCGGGGGCTGCGCGCCCTCCTCGTATAAATAACGAGAGCAACAGCAGTAATGAGTTATTCGTGGAACAAACAAATCTGCTTTACGGTAACAGCTCTGTATCTGTGATCTCTAGCTGCTTTTTATTTAAAAGAAAAAGTATTTGTATATTGACTGAGTAAAATAGCCTGCTTGCCAGCGCTCTCAGAGCAACAGTAATTACATGGATTTTTGGTCAGTCCTGTCATAGTTACTCCACTAACTTGATTAACCTATATAATGAGTACAGGACTGTGACCAATACTGACCCCACATCAAAGGATGGTATTGCTGCTGTGTGCTGACCTGAATTTTAATTGTTCTCTGAGTTTTGTAATTAAACCACAGATGTGCTAAAGAAGAGATTAGGCATTTTAGCTGGCAGTGTATGCATTTTCCCAGATGTGTCAACTGTGTATACTATAAAATGTCAGATGCCCGCCTCAATACGCAAATATCTAATGACATGCTACTTTGCAGATACCTAAAGCCTCTCTCTTTTTTTTCTTCGTGTCTTAAAGTGGGGAACAAAATTAATTTATATGCTAAAATTCTTCCATATACATTACTGCGTGCCACCATGGCTCTTGCATAAAGTTATATAAATAAATCAACAATGAATAAATTAGAACTTCAAGTGTCTGTGAAGTTCCCATAGGCTTATACACTTGGTCCTCAGAGTCCAAAAACGCTACTGCAGACAGATGTTTTCCCTTCTTCAGGATCATCCGAGTGGTGCATCTGTTGCTTCAGCCAGTGGCTATGCCAGACTCGAGAGAAAACACGTTGCTCCTTAAATGAAGACAACTAATAGAAATAAATTAGAGCATCCAAGAGGCTGCTGTGCCTCCCTCCTGTTGAAATGCGTTTCTCTTCTGGAAGCCCTCATCTCATAAAGGAAAGGAACCATACGGCCCTATTCCACTCAACCCCTCCCTCTGTCTTTCTGCTGGAGAAAAGCACATGTTTAGTGTCTGAGCTTCCCAGCACATGTTGCCGTCAACCTCGCACTCATTCATTTAGCAAGGAAAAGTACAATGCCTTTGCTGGCGCAGCTCCCTGCTCTGCTCTTGACCAAGCAGATGAGACTGAACTAAGAGCTTAGCAAATTAATCTAGAGCTGGGTGGGACGCATTGGAAGGGAACAACTGGGACAAAGATCCATGCTTCACTCATAACATTTTGTTTGGAACATATGGAAAGAATTGGGAGCTACATTTTTATCTCGATAAGTTGGGACTTGGGAGTGTGTATTGAGATTTATGCAAGCGTGAATTTGGTCTGAAACTTTTCTTCTTTCCTGTTCTTGTAGTTCTTCCAGCTCCTTGTGATTCATTTCGCCTGTGTTCTACCACTGATGGTAGTCTTCCTTTCATATAGGAAGCCTGCCTTGCATGCAGAACAATGACAAGATGACAAAATATAGCAGGTTTAGTGAGGAGCAATCTCTGAAGTACACACTTCTTTGCATCTTTCAGAGCCAGAGTTCTTTTAACGTGGACAATTTGCAGGTGTCTACCAGTATCTTAGAAAAAAATAATTTAATATGTGACTGTACAACTTACTGGGATCTTGAAATAGTCCTAGTCCTCTATCTGAAAAAGAACCCAACAGAGGATAAGAGTAACCACCCGGCACTGTTCTGTAGACACTGCACTTAATATAGCATTTGAAGGATACTATCCAGAGACAGTTTCTGCTTTGTTCTTTCCAGTGGCCTGCCTAGGAATCCCAAAGACATATCTGGAAAGTTTTTTCCTTCAATGTGAGAATTGTTTGTAAAGCCGTGTAGCTGAGTTCATCAACTGGATGCATTTTTTTTCTTTATAGCATGCTTCATTTCTCCTTGGCTCCTGCAGCCTCCAAAGCAAACAGAGGTCTTCTTTATGCATGTCTCACCGCATGTCACTTTCAGGCACAGGGCTTTGCCATCTAATTTGGGTCCTGCCATGAAAGCAATTCCTGTGTGCTAGAGTTTGAAGAGCATAGATAAATGTAATACTAGTATCAGCACGCTGGTTTTTTTTCTACCATTTTGCAGTGATTACTCACTTAAGCTTGTGACCAGCCTTGAAAAAACAGTGAGAACTCTTAAATGATGGCTGTTGGGCGCTGTGGAGAATGATGCCTTCATTACCAGGCTCAAATGCACATAGGAACCCTGCCTCCTTTTTCTGGAAGCATCCTCACCTTTATAGAAAATACTGCATCTGCAGTAGAGGCTGCAATTACCCTTCTTGAATGTATGTAAGGACAGAGCATTAAGTAATGTGTCTGCTAGCTAAAGGAAATAATATATCTCTACTGGAAATACTGATGTGCATATTCTTTAAGAGTGAGTTACGCACCTGTGAGAGCAGTTTTTAGACTGTAAATATGACCTCAACTTTTCCTACTGCGTCTTAAGCTTGCAGGCCCATACAGTGCATAGCAATGCTCCAAATAAGAATAGAAAACTGAAACAAAGTAAAAATTGTTGCTTTCTAGCAATCTAAACCTTTATGAAGCAGCTTTTGGCTCTTAAATGGAGACAGTAATATTTAAATAAAATTAAATGGGGTGTCCCAAGTTTGAAATCCTAATACAAGAATTAACAGGGAAGAAAAGTCATAAACAAATTATTAAAATATAATTTTAAGTTAAATATGTTAATTTAAAATAACTTTGCCTAGTCATTTGAAAGATGCAATTTCAAGAGAGAATAACCAGTTTAAAATTAATATAATTTATTAACAATTAAAAATTATAACACAAGCAGAGGGAGGTTGGAGGTGAAATATTGAGTTTCCTTTGATAGGTAGAGTAATTATGAAGTATGCTTTTGAAGTTCAAGAAGAGAGCCTTAGGACACAACATTTTTTAAAGAAAAAATTGGCTTGCACTCTCTTCAAGTGATTTATTTTGCACTAAGAAATGGGTGTGAGACATGATGTGATTTAAAATGTCATCCCTTGATGGAACTGCTTGAGGGTGACATCATTTTTTTTTCCTCTCTCTTTTTATTTATATATTTGGCTTCTTGATTTCTGAAGTTCTCTATCTTAGGGAATCTAATGAAATTAAGTTGAAATGAATTTTAAAAAAAAGCAAGCCATCAACACCTCTGCATTCCTTGGAGTAAAACTTTCCCCTAAAGTTCAGGAAGCTAAAATCTAGACTCTGGAGGGAGCTACCAGGAAGGCAGAAATTACTCTGCTGCATCTTTGTCATCCATGTTGTTTACATGATGCCTGTGTTTGAGAAACACCACTTTTTCATATCTCAGACAAATAAATGCAACATGTTGTGGAAGGATGGTCTCTCTTCAAAGCAGGTTGTCCCACGCATCTCTGGGTAGGAAGGATCACTCTTCTTTCCTCTGTGTGCTTTTTTGAAGGAGCTCTTTTAAAAGTTGGGGTTGGACTTAGAGATGTTCTTTCAAGTAAGTTTAGATCTTCCTTGCTTGAGTAAGTGGACATTTTTCCCTGAAACGATGAAAGAACAGACCTATACTTGGGACATAAGAGTTATGTGATATAGTTGAAATTGTGACTTCAGTAACATGTTTGCTTGCACTGGGCTTTGTGAGCAGGAGGAGGCACAGCTGACTTGTGGCAAAGGACCTGAATGACAGAGCTGGTATCATTGAGCGTGTCCAAAGGTCAACACTGCTGGTGAAATGTCTGGAACATCGTGTTATGAGGAGCACGTGAGGGAACTGGGACTGTTCAGTGTGGAGAAGAGGAGGCTCAGAGACCTTATTGCTCTCTACAGTTACCTATAAGGATGATGTCAGCCTCTTCTTCCAGGTCACTACCGGTAGAACAAGAGGGTATTTGCACCAGGAGAGGTTCAAGTTGGATGTTAGGAAAAATTTATTCTCAAAAAGAGTGGTGAGACATTGGAACAGGCTGCCCAGGGTGGTTTTGGAGTTACTGTCCCTGGAGGTTTTGAAGGAAAGGGTAGATGTTGCACTGTGTGACATGATTTAGCGTTGTGGTGGTGATAAGATGGTTGATGGTTGGGCTACATGATCTTGGTGCTCTTTCCAACCTTAATGATGCTGTGATTCTTTTATTCTATGATACAGCCAAAATACAGCCTTGCTTTGTAGACCAATCTCTTGTCCAACTTTTGCTTAACTTCAGCAGTATTTTTATATACCTTGCTGACAGCTGTGGTGATTTTTGTCATAAATCTCACAACTTTTGTTCAGAACCCTTAATATTGGAAGCAAGGGATTTATGTGAGAATCTGACAGATTTCACTTGACAGTGAATCTCATAATGTTTTACCTACTGCTAGTTGAACAGTTCTTCCTTAAAAGTTGTAAGGGACCTGTTATGTCACAGCCTAAACTAATGATTGAGAATCTGGTGAAGGGGGTGGCTGGCCCAGCAAGCACAGGTGCAAACAATTCACCTGTTCTTCCCAGATGACCAGAAGGGGTTGACCCTGGATCCTCCCCTTTCTGAGCTCATTTAAGTGCTAGCCTCGAAAGAGGGAGTGTTTTTTCAATGAAGGCTGCTTTCTGTGAGGGGTTGTTCTGTAGATAGAGATCCTTTCACCAGTTGGGTGAGTCAACTTTTTCCTATATACATATGATTATTGATATTCCTAATGGTATTTTATCTGGTGTTGCAAAGAGTTTATCCGAAGCAATTTCACTGCTTCCAAGAATCTACAAAAGTAGATTTCTAGCTCTCAGATCTGCAAACTGAAAAGCCTTGGAAAGATAAATAGCATACCTTCTAGAGGCAGGAAATGGGAAGAGAGCAACTCTACTACATCATCATTACTTTCAAAATCACCTGCTAGAATCCAGATCTTGTAGCTTTGGGTGTGAAGAATCTGGGCTATGGATTTTTCACTGCAAGTGTTTCTGCTGTTACTCAAGGAAATCAGAGTAAAGACCATTAAAGTTGCCACAGCTTTCTTTGTGATTTCCTGTTTAACAATACTGTGTTTGTTTGCAGCCTTACCCAATGTGTACCATTGTCCTACCCTTCTGAGGGATGCCAGGCTCATGGCAGCCACATTGCTGTGTATTAATTCACAACCACTGTAATGGTGAACAATACTCTGCCAGGTTGATGCAAGTTCACTTGATTGCTCTGGATGTTTCCTGGGAGCTCAGGGATTTGTGTGGAGCTTGTAACAGTCCTGGGAGGTGTTGTATCTACTGGGCTTGGATGGTACATTTAGATGTGAAGTAGTTCTGTTGGGCTGATGTATGGGACATCCATCTGTGCTTGCTACCTATGGAAATCCCAACCGAATTAAAAACAAGCTAACAAAAAACCCTTCCAACTTCACACAGATGTGTTCTGGGAAGTCATGGATGCTATTCTTACTTTCAGCTCCACCAGTTTTGCAGGGCTAAGTGACTGAAATAAAGGGGAATGTATTTCATCACCAGCATCAGTAAATTATAATAGAATACACACAGGGCACAGATCTGCCAAGTAAGAGAAGCTGCATTTTTTCCTTGTCACTTTTCAAATAAAATTGCCATCTAATCTAAAATACAGCAGCCTTGCTGAAAGTCTATGAATTCTCTTTGTATGAGAAAGTGTAGCAAAGTTCGTAGCCAGACTTGTTATAAAAACACAGAAGTTAAAAATAGCAGTGTAATCAAGGAGCAGAATCCAGCTCTAAATGGGTGGCCCAGTTTGCTCTCACATTTGAACACTGTAAACATAAATCAACCCTTGTCTTTTTAGGCTGCTGCTACTAGCTTTTTCTTTTGCTATGGAGAAATGTTCATGCTTCCCTATCATTTGACAACTCCTGACTGCTTTCGCAGTCTTTGTTCATGAAAGATCTATGTCAACTATGTACCAGCATCCCTTTGACTGTAAGCAGCCCGTAATTGGAAAGGTATTTCTAATAGAGTAAATTTTCTGCAGACCCCTTGGAAGGAGCTTGCTGTGCTTTTCTTCTGAGCCTTCTACAGGACTGTGCTGCTTTGTTTAGTAAGAAAAAAAATAAATTGATATTACACTGGAAGATTGATTGACTTTTGGTCCCACTCTGACAGTCACTGAGTTATCCATCCTCACTTTTTTTTAGTGCAGTAATTCTAGAAAATTCATCCTACCTGTGTTTCACATTGGGTGGCAAAAGTGACTGAAAGGGGGGGGCTAGAAAGTAGGGCATCTGACTTCCTACCTTCTCTGTTGGGGCTGTGATCCACTTCATTGAAGGGGAGGATATTAAACCATTGAAGGAGAACTGAGATTGTGATAAAAGAGAGGAGTTAGAGATCTCTAAATTCTTAAATGTTTTGAGTAGGATCTCCTTTCTTTTTTTTTTTTTTTTTTTTTTTAATTTTTCTTGAAATGCTTAGTTGAAAAACTGAGGTGAACTCTTCATACTTTCTGAGATATTGTAATCCCTAACCTTGCTGGAGTTTGTACTCTTTCACTTTGCAGGCCTTGTCAATGCCTCTTCAAAGCAGCACAGGGTTCTAGCTGCCTATGGAGTGCAAATGTATTTACCAATTGTGCAATACTTCTTTGAGATAAATTTATTGTTAGTAGTATTTTTAACTGTGAGCCTTCTGATAAAGGCTTCTTGGTACAAAAGCAAAGAGGCTGTTGGAGGCAGACTATCACAAAAACACTAGGATTGTGGACGAGTAGGAGCAAGAAACTTGTCTTCTACCCTGTGGCTGTTTGCTTGGTTTTTTTTATGAGAAGGTCCAGGAAGAGATGCAGTGTGTGTTCTGGGGCTCAAGTGTTGCTGTGCAGCAGGGCTGTCCTGCTGGTAGGAAGCTAGTTGTGCTGGATCCAGGCTGGATCATGGTGGCCTGGCCTTGGCGCACAGCACCCCACAGAGGGGGCTGCTTGTGCATGGCAGAGAGTGACTGAAAATGGCAGAAATCCTCCTTGCTCTTCAGCTTTGCTGTCCTGAGGTGGGATGACATTCCTTGCTTTCCTGGTGTGCTGGAGCAGCTCTGTGTCGGTGAGCAAGATGTGGCCTTCTCATGAGAGGCAGGGGCTGAACTGAGGTGTTTGAGGAAACTGTCCTACACAGATAGCAAACAAAAATACTCTTTGGGCTTTCAGATGTCTTAGAGATAAACCTCTCAAGGATTTCAGACTGCTTTTTTTTTTTTTTTTTTTTTTTTTTCCCCCCCTCTTGCAGGCCCTTTTATTTTCTTGGGCTGCTGCTAATCAGTAACTACATTTTCCTGACTTCGGGGTCATTACTGTGTTTCCTTTGCTGTAAGGATTTAAAAGGGCTTTCCTATCACTGACAAATACCAAACCAGGTGAGACTGCTGCTTGTGGTGAGTGTTTGCCACTGGAGAGCCTTAAATACTCATACCTTGTGCCTGACAGCGTAGCAATTTCAGCTATTTTAGCAAAAATAACCAGGAAAGATCTCTAGTACTTTCCCAGAGGGGAGTGGGCCTGTTAAAAGTGGTGAGTAGGATCCTACCTTGTTGCAGTAGCATGTAATCCACTTTGTTTAACCAATGGAAGTCTGCTTTTTTTAATTACAGTGAAGCAGTTCCTGCTGCTCTGTTGCCCCCACAAGCTGCAGTCCTTGCAGTTTAGGGACCTCTGGCCCCAAAGTACAGGCGAGTTCCTTCCCTTTGTCTAAGGAAAATGGTCCCTCTGGAAGTCAGCGTGATGACCTGGGATGTAGCAGGTCTCAGTTCTCTTTGCACCTCTTAGCTGGCTTAGCTGGCTGCTAAGTGATAGAAGGCTTTGCCTCCATGTGCCTCATCCCCCTGCTGAAAATAGGCATATAGGGAGGGCACATCACTGCTGCAAGACTGCAAAAAAATTGCTGTTTGATAACATGGCTCGGCATGTTCTAAAGGGTACATAGAGATAAGTATAGGAAAGCTGATCTTATATTTTCTTTAAGGACTTCCAGACACTGCAATTGCAGCAAAATTAACTAAAAACTGCTTTTGATGGGTCTCTTCCAAAATCTCCTGTTTGGAAGTAAGTCACCTGCTGAGTTCTATGCTGCCTGCTCTGGGCTGCTTCTGGTATGTATGGGAGGTGGTTCACTGGAAACTGCACAGCATTGAATGGTAGAATAAAGATATACTTTTAATATAAGATTTCTGAAGCACTGCTCTATTAAATACAGTAAATATTCCTTAGTGAGTACTACAGCTTCATGCCAGTTGCTTGCATCAAAAGTGATTTCTCGTTTCCCTATTTTTCAGCTGCAGAATGGATCAGTATTTAAATGGGTTGCATTGTGTGAACAGAGAATGCAAAAAATGCACAACTTTTGGTGAGTACACTTGTTATTTATATTTGGTGGTCTGTTGTTTCAGATGACGTGCAGGTAACTTCTCTGTAGTAAAAAGAACAAAACTCTTTAGATTAGGATTCCAGACTCAAGGTATTTAATTATGTGCAAACTAGTTTAGGCTATGTGCATGTATTCTGTAGATCTCCTGCTCTGTTCTAAGACTTATTTCATGCTTATAAACACTGTAAAAGAGTATGAGGGCTACACAGATTCAGAAGAAAATTGTTTATTTCTTTCATATTTGTTCCAGTAAATGTAGCCAGTGCTCTGAAGCCTGGGCCTGTCTTGATGAAATAATAGCTAAGGTTATTAATATATAAAATAAGTTTTTTTTAAAAAAACAACAACAAAAAAACCTCATGCTGAAAAACTGATTAACTACTTCATTTGTTGAAGAAGACTGCCAAATCCAGAAAAGAAAATAACCCACATTATACCTGTCACTAAGAGGAGAATGCCATGCTGTGTGTTACCTGGATGTTGAGCTATTGGATCAGTGTCTCTCAAGGAGAGTTCTGAAGCCACATGGTCTCTCTGGGTACTGGATTTTGTACTTGGACCTCTGTATTAAAACTCATGCAGAGTGACAGCTCCCTATTGGATATACATCTGAAGAGCCGCAAGAGTGCAAGTCATTCCAGCAAGGGTCTGGTATAAATTACACTCTTAATTGGCTCCAGATAAGTCTATTTTGGACTATGGAACATGAAGAACTTGTGTGGCGTACTAAATCTTCCTACTTCTTGCACAAACCCTGTCTTTACAGGGAACTGCCTGTAAAGAAGGGAGTCATAGACATACAGATCTAGAAGCTGGCAGGCTTTGCATGGCAAAATCCCATTCGATCAGACCTTGCACAGACTGCTATTATACTACTGGGCATGTAATTTCTCAACTGAGAGACATGCAGTGAGACCTAGGACCTGTATCAGATGATTTGTTTAGATGTAGCAAGATGTTTTTAAGAGGCAGTGTTTATCTTCATTCTTATGTGCGCAGATTAGGGAAGAAGTAGTAGTCATGGTGTAGTTGTTTAAAGCTCCAAATACATTTTTAAATAATTCAATGCATCTAAAGTAAAGATCAGTTATTCAAAACATATATTTGCAAAAAATGCAGTGTGACAAAATAAATACCAATAATTTAAAACATTTGTTGGCCTTTAATGTTGCAGAATATGTATCTGCAACAGTAATAAAACCTCAATAAACATGATTTAATAGTTTAGTGTACTTTTAACACATAAGCATGCTATTGAGCTGAAAAATCAGATTTCAGTTTGGCAGTGGAGGAATGAGTTTATGAAGTCAGCTTCTAAGTTTACACCTGGTTTGGAAGAGACAGCCACAATCATGTATCTAAGAGAAGAAACTGGTGTTTGTTGAGAATCCTTAATCATTTATTGCATTTACAAGCTGGTGCTTCATAATGTGGTTCTCCTTTATATCAAGTGAAGAAATTTTGAGGGAGGCTAAGAGACAGAATGTGAAGTAAATTTTAAAATAGATGGAGGTAGCTGAAAAAATTTTATCTGAACTGGTAGGGTTTCATTTGGTAATGCGGTGTCCAAGAATATTCTACATGTTTTCTGAAAGCTCAGGAAAATACTTCTAGGGACATGTCGGGGTGTTAGAGGTAGAAATATTGCTAAGCTCAGTTGTCCATTGGAGTTAGGACTAGACCACCTCCTTGGAGCAAAAGTAAGGGCAGGATTTCTCTAGCTCTACTTTCAGAAGCTCAGCAGCTGAACCCAGTGCCTATGGCCACTGTTGCTCTCTGATCCTGACAGCCGTGCTCACTATGAACCCACTGCTGCGAGTTTTAATTCCAGGCCTGCATCCTAGGTACTGATGCATAAAAAAGGTGAGGTATAATTCTTTTTCCACTGTGAAAGATGCAGTTGGCAGCCCTTCCTTGGGCAGAAGTCCTGCTGACTTCACTGAATGTTCGTTTGGAATATGGACAACAGAACTCACACCAGAAGAACATGTAGACTTGACACATTCATAATGTAGTGAAGCTGCTTGTACGCATAATGTTTCTTTCCTGCAGTAAAATGACTGTTTTTCAAAATCCACTTCAGACATTGGAAGTTCCTGCCCCACAGTGAGACCGATTCTAGCAGAAGTAAATATAAATGGATGTAATGTTTTGTATTTTGTAGTCTATAGTGTGGATTTTATCTATGTGCCTATTATATACCATCATAATACAGTTGGCTTCCTTGGTAATAATTTTTGATTATTGTAATTTGAAGACTTGTCTACATGAAGTACTGAATAGAGGTGTGAATATGAATCATGTTAGCTCTTCAAGCCCCTGTGGATCCTCTTGTCCTGACTGCATTCATGAAGTTTGGGCTAATCCACTTCCAAAGTTAATTAGCATGCTAACTTGTACTGTGCTAATCTTCTTGTGGTCAACAGGCTAAATTGCTATTACTTTCAAATCACCTACCTCCTCTTTCTGTTTCATTTGTTACTGTTATATAGTGGTGAGAATATAAGCTCACTGTTTCTGAAATATTTGTAGTCCCAGAGCTTTGCAGTTAGAACTTAAATGTTTCATGTTATGCTTTTTCTATTTCTGTGATGATGAGGGAACGTATATATGTGCGGAACTCCTAGGACCCTACAGTGAAGAATTTTAGGTGAGCCTCGATCTTCCATACTATCGAATGCTATTTTGCGTGCTTTTATGAAGAGGGTAATGCAACACAGAATGCTGTACATGGGTTCTTCCAGCTCTGAATTAGTCTCTTTTATCTGTCTCTGACCACAACAGATGTTGGCAGCCTTTCTATTCCATATCCTTAAGTCAGACTAAGAATATCAGTTCCGCTTAGGGAAGCTGTAGGGGAATAGTTTAACCCTTTCAGGAGGCTTTTTTTTTTTTCTCTCTTTAAAATTCTTGACTTTTAATTTAAAATAAGATTCAGTAAATGCTTAAAGTGGCAACTACATCTTTGAGGGATTCCTCAGTTTTAATTTCATAGTTGAATTAATTGGCTTCTTTAAATTTTCTGTTAGTTTCCTTCTCATCAGGGACACACAGATGGAGGTTAAAAACATCACTGCAAATGTTTCTAATATAAATTTAGCAAAGGAATTTGGAATGGCAGTAGAGCTGTAGAAGACTTGAGTGTAATCTTCAACATTTAGAAGGTACTGTTTTGCACTATAGATGGTACTAGCCATCTCTGGAAAACTGTGCCTCTTGGACTTTCCAAATGAGTTTATTATAGTGCACGGTATGAAACCTTATTATAAAGGCTTATGGGGAAGTAACAGAACTTTCCTCATAGGTGGAGTTAACAATTTTCATTTACCCAAATTCTTTTCAGGATAACCTTGGACTATTTGCTTTTGTTTTAAAACTCAAATTCAAGCAAGAAATACAAGCCATGGTTATATCCCTTAAATTAATTACAAATGCAGATATTTTGTTGCTGTGTTTTATTTAGAATTCACATAAAAGGTCATAATAGAAAGAAAAAATATAGTTATATATTAGAATAAACTCTTCTGAATTATTAGTTATGTGTCCACAGTCCTTGCAGTCTGCTCACTGCCCTTTGCGATTACTGGCCATCAGAAAGATCCTGACAATGCCCAAATCAATGCAGCATTCTTCTTACATTCTGCTGCTGCACTCATGCTTCAAATGCAGCCCTGTACTGCCTGATGTCTAGCTAGTTACATGTATTCAAGTGAGAGGGCTGTAAGGATCTAATTTTACTGACTGACAAGGATTGCAGAAGCATACACAGCCTGCTCATATCCTTTGTGGAGTTGGAAGCAGAGCCACCTTTTCATTTCTTTTTTTTCTACTGCACAGAGACGCCATCACATATGTTCTGAGGCTGATGAACTGAGGAGGTCTGGGAGCCACATGTGACCAGCAGAATGAGCACCGGCCTATAGTGCAGTTTCAGTGGGAGATGACTTTTGGGAAAGTTCCCACAGAAATCCCATTGTAGCATTTCTGTTCTTACTGGGCCTGATTTCATTTATTCTGAGGCTTCCTCACATATTTCTGGCATTGCACTGAGACCTTAACATGGACATAATGCACACTTGCAATCTCATTAATGCTCTTTGGCATTGCCAGAAGGGTGTGAAAGGGCTGTGCATGTCAAGGAGAATCTGGCCCATCGTGTTTATTCATGCAGTAGCTTCTGCTGAGTCACAGTCTGCCTCACAGCCAGGAAAAGGAAGGGCTTGTTTTCATTAGAGGACATCAATACTATCTGGTGGTTGCAGAGCACTGGAGCGCAGAGTGTGTTGAGGGAGGATCACAGAGGGCTTTCTGGAACTCAAAGCAGCAATACTTTAGTGTGATGAGTGACACAGCTGGAAAGATGATATTTTCAATCATGCACTACAATGGTTTATCCTGAGGACTTAATCTCCCAAGTCTGGAGTGTGGGGATCGATTGCTCTTCTCCTGGGAGAACAGAAACAGAAGACCTCAGGAGGCTGTGACAACTATGCAGCAGACAGGTCTTCAGCCAGCTTGCTTATGAAATGTGGGCAGTGCACTCTCAGAGGGCAGATGTGCAGCTCTGGTCCCTCTGAACTTCTTGCCTCTTTGCAGAGGGGAACAAGAGTGGACTTGGAAAATGGAGATAAAAGAAAATTTCCCCCAAATTAGTTTTTTGATAGGTTAAGTTGCATGGTTTATAACAGATTTTTAGGGGAGTATGGTGTGGGAATGGAGTTAACAGGAGGTACTGAAAAGTAAAAGACTGTTCTGAAAGTAGTGGCAACAGGTTGGGCTGTAGATGGGTTCCTGCTTGAGCAAATGGGAACCTGGAGTCGCTGCCTTCCAGCCACCTGGGAGGAAGAGGTACGAAGAACAAGCAAGGGTACCTTTCAGGCCTTCTGATGCTAAGAGGGCCCTAATGTTTAGGGGAGTGAGGGGTGGTGAAATCTAGAGATGCAGGTCCTACCTCTGAGTGAGCTGTCCTGACCTCTGATAGAGGAAAAAAATAGCTGATCTTACTGTTGTTTTCTCAATTGTTATCTATGTGTTTTTATCCTTGAGGTTAGTAATTTGGGGAAAGCTGCAAGCCAAGTGTTTTAGAGGCAGTCGCCACCACTTGTGAATCCCGCATGCCTGTTTGTAGGACAGAGTGGAGTTACATTTTCTGCCTCTATGAGCGGTTCCTTGCTTACATCATGCTGTGCAGTGCCCACTAGCACCATGTTCTTGGGCACTGTCCTGTCTACTGCTAGGTACTGTTACAGGCTTCCCACCAGCATGCCTTGTGAAAGACCCCTCAGACTGAAAAAGGTTTTGAGACCAATTGCAACAGTGCTCTGTCCACTTTCATTTATAAGCAGGATGTAGCTGTGGCTGCTGTGTACCTTCTATGGTTTTGTAGGTTTGTCTGTTTGCTTCATTTGCTTCTACTCTCAGCTCTCATAGATGAAGCATTTCATACTGGAAAAAATGTTTTGTGCCCAGTGAAGTGGCTTTCTTTTCACCATCATAGAAAAAATGAACACTCTAGTATGGATGCAGACTGAATTCTACCCTATCATTCCCTCTTTGCTGTCAACCTGAACAAATCTTTCTTTGCCGTAGTCTAACTCCAGGCACAATGTCAACATATAAGGAACAGATCATGAAACCTCTTGCTGTGGTGAGTGAGGCTTTTAGAGTACATACCCAAGTAATTTTTCTGAGAACTGATCTTTCATGTGTAGTCTGTGATTTAAACACAAAGATGTCCTGTGATTGCCGTAAGATAATATTAAGTATTTTAGAGCATGCCAGGCCTGTTGTGAGTGTTGTCCAGTAACTGATAGTCAGAGGGTTTCTCAGTCACTTGTGGTAATGTGGTCTTCCTCTTTGCAGGATTATCAGTCTTTTAAGTGGGATCTGACAACTTTACTCAAAAGAGTGGGATACTAGATTCAACCAAGAATACTTTGAAATTATATTTAACCTAAGGCTTTTACTGAACAGAATACGAAGGGATAATATTCTCTTTCTCTCTTCTTCAAACTCATATGCACATGATTACTGCATTATTTATCCATAGCTAAATACTGTCTAAAGCTTTATATTTATTCATCTCTATTGCAGTTCTGCAGTAAGAGATTTTTAGATTTAGGTACTGTATGTGCTTACTGTTAACTTCTTTATTTCATTCATCTGTATTTTTTCAGACATATAACTCTAATGATTCCTCCTCTTGTGCTTAATAAACATCTAGTAGCTCACTGAAGAGTATGGAAGAAAAGGTGAAGTTAAACTAAATGGCTTACTTGTGAGCGATACTCATGATTTCACATGAACATTTGAGGATGGTTTTCTCAAAAGGGTTCCTAAGAGCATCCTGCAGTCACAGATCATGCTGCTTCCACACAAAAAGATGGCTGATTAAATACATATCTCAGATTTTTTTTTTTTCTGTAGCTTTGTTCTGCTTTCTGAATCTTTGGAAAAAAACTTCTACTTGAAAGAGTCCTGAGGTTAAACTCTGTTATTAGCCCCCACATACGCAGTTTCATGAATGGGCTACTGAGTTTCTTAACAACATCTGTATCTTTGGTTCATACAAGATTTTTGTTTTTAATGTTGTTCATTATGATCCTCAGCAGCGTAGAACTTGCAAATGTTTTTTCAATTGGGCTGTTAGTTTCATTATCTTCAGCGTAATCTTTCTTGCTGCAGATTTTTGTTCTTGGATTTGGCTAGTATAACTATTTTTTATCTACCAATGATCTCTGTTAAAGACAGACTTAGCTTCAGAACCAAGCATAAGTTAAGGCTGTGGTTAAGAGGGCCTTTAGTAGCATCCCTGAGACTGACCACTTATGAGCTATTAAACACATCTATGCAACTCTGTAGGTTGAAGTCCAGCTCTAACACAGATGTTCTGCATTTCATTCCATACCTCAATCACCTCAGTCTTCTTGAAAAAATAGAATTGGAAGAGAATAGCAACTCTTCTCTTCCTACTCTTACCATCTAATGATTTAGCTACAGATGGTGGTTGACTATAACTATGAACAGCCTGTTCCCTAGTGCTTCAGAAAGTCCATGTAAGAGAATTAAGAGAATGGATGAACCAGAATCCTGCTGGCTCCTCACTGATGTAGTGTAGGGCCCAGGAGCTGCATTCCTCCCTACTTCTGAGAAGTTTCAAGGGTACCTGTGTGTCCAGTTCTGTACACCTCTTATGAAGTGATCTTGATGTCCACCTACGTATGAGGGAATTGTAGTCGCTAGCAAATAGTATTTAGTGATAATAATTAGTAAATTTGTAGTCTAAGGATTTTTGTTTTAATGCTTCATTCAAATTTTTGGAATGGTAAGTTTAAGGTAAGAAATTACAATCATAGTGTTTTTTCTTTTACTTGCTTTGTTCACCTTCTCTAAATAACGTCCCCCAGAACTTGCTTGAAAATCTTCAGGACAGAACCTAGGTGGATAACTTAAACTGCAACCTCAGTATTTCCTTCCTTCTTCCCTACATACCTCTTTAAATATCATAAATGCCTGATGTACAGAAAAGGTTTAGGGATAAACTAGATCTAAGAAGTTACGTATCATAAGCATGTAAATCTAAAATAGGATATTTCTACCATTAGTGATAGATATGCCGAGTTTCTCAAAGGACTACCCAAGAACTCCTTAGGGGCTAGGAAGGAATAAGATGATGGATGTTAAAGTAGTGTCATTTTTAGGCATTTTTCAAAATAAGTGGCTATTTTTCTTGCCATTTGGGAGCTATGCAGCAGGATTAATGGTAACTAATGCGCTGTAGGTTTAGACCAACATGCAATTTTAAGTCTTTCAAACATTATCTGGTATTGTAAATAAATAGGAATACATAATCACATGACCTGATTTGTTGGTGTGAGGATGGGATGCTATCCTTAGTAAGTAGCTTATCATTCAAAATAATGTCAGGAAAGAAAAGTTTTCCTGCGCACACGCTCAAGCATTCCATATGTGCTGTATTTCACAGTATGTTGCTATGTTTTGAGCTTTCCACACGTGCTGTTACTGGCAAAGTTTACCAACATCGAGACACTTTACAGGTGATTGGCTGCATACATACTACTGCTGGTGATCCATGTGTTATTTTAGTCAAGGTCATGGGGAAAACATTAGTTCTATGTCTTGGGGAAAAAAAAACCTGTAAGCCTGGTGGTAGAGTTGCTTTATAAAACAGCTGCAAATACTTCTTCCAGCTGCCCTTCTTCTGCTTTTTTTGAGGCCATTATAATATACTCAAGATCAAAAGTAAAATTTGGCAGTTTTAACTTCAACCGATCCTTTCTTTGTCCCCCCAGAAAAGTGAAAATAAAGGAAATATAAAATAAAATTAAGTGTCCTAGGCAGGCAAAAACTCAAATAATCAAGATAGTTGAGAAAAGAATGCTACTTTCAGTTTAGAAAATACGGCTATTAAAACAAGCAAGGAATAGACTAATTATAGTTGTAGGGCACCTCTTCTGTATGAGTTGCAAAAATGAGGATAGTAGTCCACACTCAGGGGAGAGAAGGGGAGTGGAGGCTGAGGATGCTTAGCTGGTGAATCAGGCGAATAATGATACTTCAGCATGTCTAATTGTCTAATGCTGTAGAGTGTATAAACTGGGGCAAGCTGTATATTATACAAATTAAAAGGAACCCTAGGCTGTCTTGTATGAGCTCTGCTCTACTGCAAAGGAGTTGCTGTAATTTTGTCTTTGAATGATCTCCAGCAGTCCTCTCTTCCTTGCCTTCTGAGATTTAAGCTGGCAGGTCCCTTAAATTGCATCTCTGGATGTAAACTAAAGGTCTTCCTTGGGACCCTTCCAAGTCAGTGTTCAGGGTGTTCCACATAGGATGCACTAAGGGAACAGGAATGGTACTGGAATGAGGAGGTTGTGTAACATCTGGCTTTGGGCACTGCAATTGCTTTGATTCATTTCCTTACAGTGAATGCAGAGATGGGCTATTCAGTGAAGGGTTTCAGATTACCTAGGCTGGATGTCTACCTCTTTCAAAAAAATAAAAAAAATGCTTTCACTATGGTCATTGCAGCATCTGTAACATGTGTTCTAAACACATTAAGGCATGTATAAATCCACACT